TAACGAGAGCTCCTAATGACACCAGGTGGTCGGGCAGCACCAATGCGGAGCAGGATGGGGGAGGCAGAGGGGAAGGCAGGCTCTGACCTTGACTGCCGTGCTCAAAACGGGCTGGAAACGAGCAGGACTAAATGCCAGGCTCCGTACTAACCACCAGGATCTTCTGCTGTGGGATGGGAGCTCCGGGGGTGGAACTGCCCGAGGAGAACAGCGTGGACATGCTGGTTTATCCAAGGGTAAACGAGGGATTCCCAAGGAATCCGTGAGACCCACAGACACGGCTGGTGAGCCTCAGCACAAATGGGCACCTCACCTCTGAAGGGCAACACTCTGCACCTCTGTTTACTGAACAGATTTCACCCGGGAAGAGCTGGAGAGGAAAGGTTGACACAGGGAGTAAACAGGAGACTAAAAATATTTGGACTTTCCCAAAGGATGTGGGAGCGGTACCTGGGGACACTGAGCGGTGACATCTGGGCAGGAGAAAGGTACTGAGCAGCCCAACAAAAACAGCCAAAAAATAAAGCAGAAAGAAAAACAACCCAACAAAACAGCAAACTACAGAAGGAAAGAGAGAAAGAAGGGATGAAGGAAAGAAGGAAACCCAATAAAACAGTAAATGACCCAGGCTGGAAATGGGTTGCAAACCACCAGAGACTGAGGTTCAGAGGGTCCCATCCAGCCCCGTGGGCCTAAAGGTCCCTGCTGGGGTGACCCAAATGGATGGGAGCAGTGAAAAAATTGCTCAACCTGGCCTTGGACACTTCCAGGGATGGGGCAGCCACAGCTTCTCTGGGCAACCTGGGCCAAGGCCCCACCATCCTCCCAGGGAAGAATTCCTTCCCACTATCCCATCTATCCCTGCCCTCTGGCAGGGGGAAGCCATTCCCTGTGTCCTGTCCCTCCATCCCTTTTTCCCAGTCCCTCTCCAGTTCTCCTGGAGCCCCTTTAGGCCCTGCCAGGGGCTCTCAGCTCTCCCTGGAGCCTTCTCTTCTCCAGGTGAACCCCCCAGCTCTCCCAGCCTGACTCCAGAGCAGAGGGGTTCCAGCCCTGGAGCATCTCCGGGGCCTCCTCTGGACTCTCTCCAGCAGCTCCAGGTCCTTGTGCTGCTGTTCCCAGGGCTGGAGGCAGCTCTGCAGGGGGATCTCAGCTGAGAGGGCAGAGGGGCTGAATCCCCCCTGCCCTGCTGTGGGATCAGCCCAGGGCAGGGGGGCTCTGGGTGCCACCACACGTTGCTGGGTCATCTCAAGCTTCAACCCGGTGTGGTCTCGATGCATCATCCCCTTCCCTGCAGTGGGATGGGCACCAGATGGTCTTGGCAGGTCCTTCCAGCCCTACATGTCCACAGCCACAGTGGTGGAGCCCAAATTCCCTGCCTGTGTGTATCCTGCTCCTGCCTTCCCACGTGGACATCCCTGCCCAGGTTATCTCCTCTGTGCCTTCCAAACCCACACAGCCAGTCCCCAGTGCTGACTCATTCATCTCTACAGCTACTACAGACTCTCATTTGCTCCACATCTTCTGTACCTCCAGGGTCTGAGATGAATGACAGAACCTTAGCAACAGGCAATTCATTAATACCAGGGCCAGGCCAAAAATTTTCCACCGAAGCCTTTATTGTTTTGTTTCCTCTGCCAGGAGAGGAAATTGGTGGGAGAGAAAAAAAAACTAATTGCTTTGGTAAAGAACTGGAAACCTAATTTGGGCAATATTGCTTCTCGGGGGGGAAATTCATGGCCTTAGCACTCATTCTGATACCCTGCGAAGGGGGTGAAGTGTTTCCTCTCCCTTTTATATCTTTTGTCTTCAGGAAATAAAGGTAACAAAAGGAGAAGAATGCAAGACAAAGAAGAAGAAGAAGGGGGGGGTGGGAAACACCCAAGAAACACTTAATTCTGGCCTTTTTCCATATTTTCCAGACAAAAATATAAAATATAAAATATTCACTCATTCCTTATTACATTTTTGCCAAATGTGCTTCTAATTGTCCCACATCCCCAGCAAATGTCACTGTCTGCACATTTTGTCACCTGCTCTCTCTGGTCCCAGATCCCCAGGGTGAACTCCAGCAGGGAGAAGAGCTCTGCCCATCCCTTCCAGGGGAAAACATCCCCTCCCAGGCACTGCAGAACTGGGGTCACAGGGTCACCTCTGTGCCCAGTACAGATAAAGCCCCCAATAGTGCCACCAGATCTTCCTACAAGACATCTGAGAACTGAACAAGAAAAGGTTCCATCCACCAGGGGGTGGCCAAATTATAGTTAACGAGTAAATAAATATATAAATAGTAAAAGTACTGTTAATAATATAAACAAATAATAAATAATACACATAAATGCTGCTTATTCCGTAGGATCCCTGAGCACAGGCAGTCACCAGCAGACACCCACTGCTGCTCTGGCCTCTCCAAAGGCTTCTGGGCTCAAACAAATCCCTCATCCTTGTGGCTGGGAGGAGCCTCCATCCTCCATGGACACCACCACCAGGCACCACCTCTGCTCTGCCCCTCTGGGCAGACCTGGCAGGAGCTCACATGGGCTCTGCAATATCCATCTGCCTTGGTACACAGAGGTTAAAAAATGGAATTGCTCCCTTTGGTGTGGACTTCCCCCGTGACCTTGGGCTGGCTGTTTACTCCATTCCGTGCTCCCAGCCATTCCTCACAAGGAAATAATGCCCAGGGGGACAGAGGGAGGTGAAAACCCACCCCTGGTGTGCTCTTTGGCTGCACCAAGGAATTGTTTGCCAGGCTTGGAGCGTCACATTACGCTGATGTGCAGCGGTGGCAGAGCACTGTAAGGAAATCTGCCCTGCTCTCTGCTGCTGGCCAGCAGCACCAGCCCATCCCTGCACCAGCCCAGCAAAGGCCACAGAGACAAACAAGCCCCATGTGAGCCATCCCTGCTCCTCCCCAGTCACCAGGAGATAGTCTGGGCTGCTGGGTAGCCCCAAGGGTTGCCCAAATAGGCTGTGGAGCCTCCATCCCTGGAGATGTTTCAACACCCACCCGGTGTGTGAGCAGCCAGGCCCTTGGGAGTAACAAGGATTTGGAGCATTTGGCTTTTTAAAAAGAACCCAAACAATAAACAACACTTAGGAGATGCCTAATTTGAACAGAAAATGAGAACAATTAGCCACAACATCACTTATGCATTAATGAAGAGATGCTTATGTTCCAGGGCTGAGCATCAGAGCAAACACTCCTCCTGCAATATGCTGCAAGGAAGGAAAACATGGAATGGGAGAGCAGATGAGGACCAAAGTAGAAAGAGAAGCCCTAAGGGTGTCCTGAAAGCCAAGGAGCAACAACAAGGAGAGCTGAATCCTTCTAGTTCCTCTTAGATTTAACACCCCAGCTGACCCAACCCTTTCCTTCGGGAGGAACCCCAACCCAACTGCTGTAGGAATTTGCTGGAGCAGACCACAGTGATGGGAAGGTGAGCAATCTGCATTTAAATGTGCAAGTAAATAAGTCTAATTATGCTTTGCAGCAGTGGGAGAGAGGCATCACAACAACTCCCCAGCTCCAGGAGAGCTTTCTGCTTTAGCCCTGCCATCCCCAGCACAAGCCCAGCCCTTGCAAGGTGAGCAGACAAAAAGCCCAGTCTCAGCCCCCAGCTGGCCACGGCAGATTAAAGGGCTGTGTCACTCCTGGAAAACCCTTTTCCCACACACTCCATCCCTGCAGAACAGAGCCCCCGAAAATCCCTGGCCATTTTCCCCTGTCTCAGCCGAGCAGCACCGTCACACCTGGATGCTCCCGAGCCTCCAGCACCACTCGCATCCCCAGGGAGAGCCAGAGCTGATGCCGAGCGACAGTAAAAATCAAAATCTCACTGCTTGAACCGCCCAGGAACGAAGGACAGGAGGTGACTGTCAGCTCTGCTGTGCCACACAGTCATCGGTGGGACAGGGGAGTCAAATCCCGGCTTCGGCTCGGATCTGCGTGGATGTACCACCTGTTTGATGGCTGGGTGTCACCTCTAAACCTCCCCAAGGAGGAAAATCAATCATCCGAAGGCACAGACACCCCGGCATTCACGCGGCCACAGGGAGAAGCAAAAAGGCTGCGATGACACTTCTGTCACCACAACCCTCGCGTTTGCTCCCTGCCACCTCCACCCCGGGCTCGGCAGCGGTGGGCTCTGCCAAGGAAAGCTCTGGAAAACACAACCGCCGCAAACCCTCCTTGCAAACGTACGTGCAGGGCAGCCGCCCCACCACTTTTGTTTTGCATTCCCAACGCATCCAACCCCTTCACCGGGAGAGAAACAACAGCAGCGGCTCGCGGCGAGGAGTTCCGCGCCCCGAATCCCAAACCAGGTCTCTTGTTTGAGGTGAAATAAGGGCACCCGTGTCTGGCCGGGGGGGACACGGGGATGTGTCATCCCCCCCGCGCCGCGTTAAACATGGCAGCATCCGAGGCTGCCCCACCCAAGCGGCCTGGGATGCGTGTCCCGCGGCCCCGGGATGCTTTGTCTCGGGGGGTGCCCAGCCTGGGACGATTCCCGGGACCCTCCTGCGCGTGGGGCACCCCACCCGCGCGTGGGCCCCTTGGGGATGCTGCTCCTTTGGGTCGGCTGCAGCGCGACATCCAGGGATGCGCTGGGAAAGGACCAGAGGCCACTCGCACATCCCGGGGACGTGACCCCAGACATTCCCCCCGCGGAAATCCCAGGCGGTGGGTGTCTCTGCATTTTGGGATGCGGGGGGAGGGACCACACATACACAAAGACACTCAAACCTCCTGCCAACCCACCCGACAAAAAGCGTCCATGTATTCACCACCTGCACATCATCTACTGCCCCATCGCCGACCCCAGAGAGGGGGGGAATTTTAAGGACAACCCCCCCGAGCGGGGGATGTGCGAACCCCCCCGGAATGTTTCACAGCGTCTCTCCCAGGGTGGGATGCTCCTCCCGGGGACGTGCAAAGGGGGACCGGAGAAGGGCTGGCGAGGGGTCGGCAGGTTGGGGGTCTGGACGGGGGGGGGTCTCACCTGTAGGACGAGCTGACCCCCGCCGCCACCTCCTCCTTGATCTGCCTGTTGAGAGCATCGGCGGCCGCCCGGCCCCTGCCCGGCTCCGCCGGCTGCCCGCCCGCCTCCTCCGCCTTCTTCCGACCCTTGTCTCTCCCGTCCCCGGCCCGCACCGCTTTGGGATGCTCATCCTCCGCCTCGGGGTCTTCCTCCTTCTTCTCGGGAGCGATGTGCACCTTCCGCCGCTTCTCCTGCGCCGGTTTCTCCGGGGAAGCGCGGTCCAGGGCCAGCACGGGGGAAGGGCCCGGTTTGGGGATCCAGGGGTGGTCGCCCCGCTTGGGGATGGGCCAGGCACGGAAATCCTTCTGGTACTGCGTCTCCTTCTCGAAGGGAGTGTCCGAGGGCTGGTACTCGCTCTTGGGCTTGCAGCTCGGCTCGGGCCGCTGCACCTTCCAGGGCTTGTAGTCGTGCCGCATCACCGAGTCCGCCGGGGGCGAGGCGTGCGGGGCCGGGCCGTGCGGGGCCGGGCCGGGCCGGGCGGCACCGGGACCCGGCTCCCCGCCCGCCGCCGCCTCCCCGCCCGGCTGGGTCTCGATGGGGGCCGCGGGGCGCGGCGGGGCCGCGGGGGGATGCTCGGTGGCCTCCGAGTACTTGGTGAAGACGAGCGGGACGGCGATGTCCGCCTTGTCCAGCTGGTTCCAGAAGCGGGCGATGCAGCAGGCGCGGGTGATGCAGGGCCACGCCATGGCGGCCCCGCCAGCCCCGCACCGCCAGCGGCACCGGCACCGCGCCGGGATCGCCGCGATCCGCGCCGGGATCCGCGCCGGGATCCGCTCCGGGATCCGCTCCGCCCACACCGCGCAGGGCGGGGCAGCGCGGGGCGGGGCTTGGAGGGGCGGGGCGCGGGGGGCGGGGCTTGCACGGGGGCACGGGAGAGGGGGGACGGTGTGTGACACACCTGAGAGATGGGGGGGTGACACACCTGGACACACACCTGAGACTGGAGGGGGTGTGTGACACACTTGGACACACACCTGAGAAATGGGGGTGTGTGACACACCTGGACACACACCTGAGAGATGAGGGGGGTGACAGACCTGAACACACACCTGAGACATTGGGGTGTATGTGTGACACACCTGGACACACACCTGAAAGATGGGGGGTGTGACACACCTGGACACACACCTGAGACATGGCTCTGTGTGTGTGACATACCTGGAAAGACACACACCTGAGACATGGGAGGCTGTGTGTGACACACCTGGACACACACCTGAAAGATGGGGGGGTGTGTGACACACACCTGAGACATGGCTCTGTGTGTGTGACATACCTGGAAAGACACACACCTGAGACATGGGAGGCTGTGTGTGACACACATGGGCACACACCTGAGAGATGGGGGGGTGTGTGACACACACAGGAGACATGGCTCTGTGTGTGTGACACACTTGGACACACACCTGAAAGACGGGGGGGGGTGTGCAACACATCTGGACAGGCACCTGAGACATGGGGGGGTGTGACACACCTGGAAAGACACACACCTGAGACATGGGGGGAGTGTGTGTGTGACACACCTAGACAAGCACCTGAGACATGGGGGTGTGTGTGACACACCTGGACACACACCTGAGATGTGGGGGGGTGTGACACATCTGGACACACACCTGAGGCATTGGGGTATGTGTCTGACACACCTGGACACATACCTGAGACGTGGCTCTGTGTGTGTGACACACCTGGAAAGACACACACCTGAGACATGGGAGGGTGTCTGTGACACACACAGACACACATCTGAGACATGGAGGGGGTGTGTGACGCACCTGCACCTGGACACACACCTGAGACATGGGAGTGTGTGTGACACACTTGGACAGGCACCTGAGAGATGGGGGGGTGTGTGACACACCTGGACACACACGTGAGACATGGGGGGTGTGACAGACCTGAACACACACCTGAGACATTGGGGTACATGTGTGACACACCTGGACCCATACCTGAGACATGGCTCTGTGTGTGTGACACACCTGGACACACGTGTGCACATGAACACTCACACAGGGGTGCACACTCACACCTGCACACACATGTGCACACACGTGCCACACATCCACGCTTGCATGCAGTTGTACCTTCACATACACACACGTGTGCGGGTGTTTGCACACCCACACGTGCACACACACTCCTGCACACACACAGACACACGAGCACATGTGTGCACAGACCTACACGCCTACACTGCCCCACACACACCCCTGTGCACACACGTGTGCAAATGCACACCCAGATCCTTCAGGAGCTGCTGCAGCACCAGCTGCTGCTCCCAGTTCCCCTCCCTGGACGGGGTTTGGGGCTGAAGCCAAACACGTGTGCACACGTGTGTGCAGACACACACACACACACGTATTTTATTCTTGCCTTTTGCCCATTTTTTCCCATTTCATTGCAGTCTTGCAGCTGCAAACCCAAAGCAGAACACCCCCCACCCTGCTCCTGCAGCGAGGCCGGCTGAGGGCTGCCTGCAAATTCCTATTGCCAGGCTGGATTCACAACCCCAAATCCCACCCTGCACTCCATCCCCACCCTCCTCTTTAACCTTGCCTCCACCTTCTCCCCATCCCTTCCTCCCTCCCTCTATTTCTCCATCTCTTCACCCCACCATCCCTCCATCTCCCCGTCTCTCCCTTCATCCCTCCATATCTCCATCCCTCCATCCCTTCATTCCATTATCCCACTTTCCCTCTGTCCCTCCATCTCTTCCTTCATCCCTCCATCCCTCTGTTTCTCCCTTCTCTGTATTCCCTGATGCCAATAAAGTCCATTTGCACCCAAATCACATCCCCTCCTGCTCCAATCCTGTGCAGACGCCCCTCCCTCGAAGCTCCCGGGTCTTTCCCAGCCTCCCTGCACTGCCAGCATTCCCACTGGGAGCAGGACTCCAACAAAAGCAGCGATCCCAATGAAAGCCACACACTCAAACACGGAATTGCCACCAGAAGGAAACAATTCCCACCCGTCAGTGGCTGCAGCTGCCAGGAGTGCAGTGAAAAGCAGGATTATTCCTGTCGGGATTGTTCCTTGAATACAACACTTTACATCCCCTTATTGATCCTTGGGCCCTGAGGGGTTTGGGTTTGTTGGGTTTTGGGGTTTTTTTGGCTTGTCTTTGCCTGGATTTGCTTAATTTCATTCTCACCTGTAGGCAAATTGTGGAAGCTCATTTTATGGATGGGATTGGAGCCCTCACTGCTGGGGATGGATGGATCAAAGGGCCGCCTTTGGAAAGAATAAATAAACATCAACTAGGGGTGTTTATACACAGCCATTGCTTTGTCTTTTGGGATTATATCACCCCTGCTATTACAGCCAGGGCAATTAAAACTGGGGATAATAATTAAAGGTTTGGGAAGCTCCTCAGTATCTCCCAGGTTGGATATAGATCTTGGTCTGGGATCTGCTGCCCACGGAGGTCTTGCACACATTTGTGGACTTTCCTGCGGGAAACATTTTTGAATTCAGTCTGCGTTGTCATTTCAGGGTTTGCTGCACAAAGAACTATTAGTGAAATTAATTGCCCGGGAAGTTATGCGGGAAGAAGGACCTGGAGCTGCTGGAATGAGTCCAGAGGAGGCCCCGGAGATGCTGCCAGGGCTGGAGCCCCTCTGCTCTGGAGCCAGGCTGGGAGAGCTGGGGGGGTTCACCTGGAGAAGAGAAGGCTCCAGGGAGAGCTGAGAGCCCCTGGCAGGGCCTAAAGGGGCTCCAGGAGAGCTGGAGAGGGACTGGGGACAGGGAATGGCTTCCCACTGCCAGAGGACAAGGATAGATGGGATATTGGGAAGGAATTGTTGGCTGTGAGGGTGGGGAGGCCCTGGCCCAGGTTGCCCAGAGAGGTCTAGTGGAAGGTGCCCCCATGGCAGGGGGTGGAACTGGGTGGTCTTTAATGTCCTTTCCAACCCAGACCATTCTCCATTTCTGTGATTCTGGGGTATCAGTGTGTTCCTGCTGGATCCCAGCCCGTGTGAACCCACTGGAACAGCCCCCACTCTGGAGCTCAGGCGTGTCCCAGCCCTGCACCCAGCAGTGCCAGCACACAGGGGTGTGCACAGCACCTCGCACCATCTGGGGGCTGGGGACTGGCCTGTGCACAACCTTTCTTTGAGGATCCCTCACCTGCAGCCAGTCTGGGCTCCTCTCACATGCCCAGTCATGCCCTGACCATCCTTCCCTTGGACATGGGCAAACCTGCCTTGTGAGGTTTTGCAGCATCAGGAGCCTTTGCTGCTCTGCAGACAGCAGGCAGACCTGGGTGGTGGTAGAATGAAAAAAAATTGCTTGGTGTCTCCTGCAGTGAAATCTCTGGTTATATATATATATATATATGTTCATCCTGAAGCATGGCTGCTCACTCACTTGCAGGAATCAGCTATGGAAAAGCATCGTCAGGCAAAATCCATTAGCTCTAATCAGTGGAATTGATGTGCTGGCTGCAAACCTCTCTGAGAGAGGATGGGAGCTAAATAAATAAAAATGTCTCTGTTTTTAAATTACAGCCACCGTGGCAGGAAGCAGGAGTCGCTTTCTCCTGTTCCAGCCTCTTCTGGGAAAAGGCTGTGTGAGGCCACGTGGTGGGACATTGGTTTTTGGGGCGGCCAAGGACATCACAACATCCGACCGTACCAGAATCCTGCCCAAAGGGTGTGGCAGAGCTCAGTGCAGGACCTTACAGGAGTGGAAGGTGGGGTTGTTTAGGGAACAAACCCCACAGGGTGGTAGCCACCTCAAAGGGAGGCTCCTGGCTGATCCCTGACCAGGGGCGGAGGGAGGGGATGGCAGCTCCTCCCATCGCTCCCGGGAGATCACCAACAAACGCCAGAGTGAAGTGAACGCAAAGAAAAAGAAAATCCCAACAAGGTAGGGCTGGCAGGGACCCCACATGTCCTTAGGAGCCTTTCTCCTCCATCACAGGGGGACCTGGGCATCAGCTCCAGGGGCTAAAGGTAGGGCAGACTCCAGCTCCAAAGCCAGCCCTGGAGCACAACAGCAGCCTCCCCGGTGAAGGGTGTTCACCACAACACCCCAGTGAGGTGCAGGAAAGCTCCACTGACCCGCCTTTCTCCTCCCCGGCACTGCCGTCCCCTGTCCCCGCCCCGGCAGGGCTGTCCCACACACCCCCTGCTCTGCAGGACCTGTCCCTGCGCTGGGGACACTGCTCTGAGCTGCTTCTGTGCCCAGCACCGACCTCCGGGGACAGGAGAACAGGACAACACTGCGGGGGACAATTTAGAGAGGATTTCTAGTGGCCTCTCACATCTTAAATCATTTTATAATCACACACAACTTCTGGGAACGGGGTTCTGCCTGGGGTGTTCTCGTTTTCCTTGTCAGCTCTGCTTATGATTCATATATGTTGGGAGAGTTTTTCAGGGCCAAATGGGACAGGAACCAAAGCAAATCCATATCAGAGTGCTGCATAAAGAGAATAATTGAAGTGCATGAAAAGAAGAATTCGACCAATAATTCAAGTGCTCTAAAGGACATGAAATTTCTTTGATGAAAACCACTGGCAGAACACAGCCACATTTCAGAAGAAGTGATTTTGTAACAGGTAGGAGGGGGAGTAAGATCTGAAATACTGTGTTTTGAAAGAATTTATATTAAAAAACAAAAACAAAACCAACAAAACCCCAAAAATCAAACCCAAAAAACCCAGCAGGCAGAAGTGGGCTTCTGTCACACCCACACCCTCACTCAGAGCTGGGGAGGGACAAAGACCAGGCTTGGTGCAAAGGCATCACGTGGGT